TGAAATTAAAGTAATTTGGCACTGGTATGGGAATATGATGCAAATATGTGATAAAAATGAAGTCTCAAATTGGTGGTAAAAAGCAAGAGAAAGTAATAAATAGTGAAAAACATGAACAAAATTTGGTCCCTTTAACATTTCTTATTCTTAAGTGGATATTAGGAGGCTGGGGTTGTAGCTCAATGGTTTAGAGTGCTTACCTAGCATATGTGAGGCCCTGGGTTTGATTCTCAGCACCACATATCTATCAATCAATCAATCAATCAATATCAATCAACAACTAAAAAGAAATTTTAAAAAAATTTAAGTGGATTATTTAGGTTGATCAAAGATTTCAATGAAAACAAAAACAAAACACTCTAGAAGAAAACATAGATGAACCTTTTTATAATTTTGGTGTGGAAAAGTCTTTTTGCATGTCAAAACCAGAAAGGAGCTAGGAGGGAAAAGAATTATAAAATTGACTTCATGCATTAAAAAAAATGTATAGAAATGTACCCTAAAGAAGATCAAACATCAAACAGAGCAGAAATATTAGTATATTGCATAAGGGGTTCATTTTATTAGCATGCAAAATTTTTTATGAGGCCAAAGAACATGATGGATATGTCGATGAGCCTTGACGGTGGTGGTGATTTCATGCATATATACTTACCTCTCAACTCATTGAGTTGTATACATTAAATTCAGCTTTTTGTATATCAAAATATTGATAATAAAAGCTGAGAACAAAAGGAAAAAGAACAAGAAAATATGTAAAGGAAATGAATAAGCAGTTCACAGAAAAAATGCATTACACATACACACACACACACACACGCGCATACACACACACACACACACACACACTCTTGAATCCAAACTTATCCAATTAGGACTTCAGCCTATGAATTTGGAGAAGGCACAGTTCAGTTTGTAACACTTTCAGTGTTATGCCAAACATTTAAGGGAGTTCTAAACAAACTCTCCCACTACAACCAAAAGGAAATACTTCCCAACTCATATTTGAGGCCACTATGAAACTGACACCAAAATCAAAGGTATTATAAAACCAGAGACCTATAGACTAATATCCTTCATGAATGTAGTTGCAAAAATTCTAAACAAAATTTGATTAAATCCAATATAATATAACACATCACCAAATGGTGTTTATCCCAGGAATGCAGCATTGGTTTTATGTTTGAAAACCACTCACTATGATTTATTATATTAAGCTAAAAAATAAAGAACTATACGAGGCAGAGAAAACATTTGACAATATCAAAAATTCATTTCTAGTGAAAACTCTTAGTAAGTTAGGAGCACAGGGAAATTTTCCCAACCTGACAAAAGCTGTCTCCAGAAAACAATTTATATTTAATAGTGAAAGACTGAATTATTTCCCTAAGATCAGAAATAAGACAGGCAGGTATATCTATTCTTACCACTTTTGTATAATATTATACTGAAGGTTGTAGCCAGTTTAATCAGAAAGAAAAAGAAAAGGCATCCAGTTTGGAAAGGAAGAATTAAAACTGTCTTTATTCACAAACAGCATAATTATCTATGCAGAAAATCTAATGAAACATTTATAAATTATAAACTATTATAATTTAGCTTAGCAAAGTTGTAGGATTCAAGATCTACAAATATCAATTATTTTCTATATTCTAGCAATAAAAAAACTATAATGTAAAATTTGAAAACCAGGAGTATAAAATAAAAAATGTAAAATAGGAATAAATCTTATAAAAGATATAAATGATAGGTACACTGAAACTTATAAAATATCACCTAGAAAAATCAAAGAAAATTTGTTGGAGACAAATATCTTGTTCTTCAGTCACAATATTCAATATTGCTAAGCTATCTCTTTACTCAGATTTATTTATGGAGTGCATAGAATCCTGTCTTAGCAATTTTTGCTGCTGTGACTAAAGGATCTGACCAGAACAATTTTAGGGGAGAAAATTTTTATTTTAGGGCTCACAGTTTCTGAGGTCTTAGTCCATGGAAGGGTGGCTCCATTTCTCAGGACTCAAGATCCTTGGGGCTCCAGGTGAGGCTGAACATTGTGGCAGAGGGAAGCAGGTCACATGACCAACAGGAAGCAGAGAGAGGTCTCCACTTGTCAGACACAAATATATACCCAGAGCCACACCCCAATTCCCACCTCCTCCAGCCACACCCTACCACTTCAGTTACTACTCAGTTAATCCCTATCATGGGATTAAATCACTGATTGGGTTAAGACTCTTATAGTCAATCATTTCTCTTTGGAACCTTCTTGTGCTGTCTTACACATGAGCTTTTGGGGGACACCTCACATCCAAACCATAAGAAATCCCAGTCAAAATGCTTCCTGAATTTTTTTTTGTAGAAAGTCATGAACTATTCATTTAGAAATGTAAAGGACCTAGAGTAGCAAAATAACTGAAAAAGAACAAAGTTGGAAGGCTAAAATTACCTGTTTTCAAGAATTATTATATAGCTGTGATAATCAAATCAGCATGACATTGGCATCAAGATAGGGAAATAGGTTAATGGAACAAAAAGTTCAGAAATAAAATCATGTATTTATTGACAACTGGGTTTTGACAGAGGCACAAGGGCAATGAATGTAATGGAGAATAATTGGATATGCAACAAAATGTTATTGAGTGTATTTTTTAAGATGGTATTGGATTTTGTTTTAGCTGGTAATCAGGTTACTTGAAGATTAACTTAATTCTTTTAATGCTTAAAAAAAAAACCCTCATTATGCAGATGTAATGTATCCTTATTTTAAGACTAGTTTAGCCCTGTTGACTGAGACATGGCACTTTGGGTGAGTGGGGTGGGGATCGTCTCATTTTAAATGCCCTTGTTGGTCTGCAGAGTGTCTCTAATTAGGCTGGTGGGATTGTGACTGTCTCCCAACCTTACATGAGCTCTGATAGTTGTTATGGCTTTTCAGTAGTTATTCTTGCCCAACTTCAGGGAGACTCACCTTTATACATGAGCAGTTTATCATACAGATAATAACTCAAAGAGCAACTTTATGAGTTGTGTGGCCTTTCCTCTATTCTCTCATTTCTGTGCCCTACCTTACAAGTTCTAACCCCCTTAGCCTCCCCATTCTCTAACTCTGTCTCCTCATGAGCAGGATCACCTTACTCTGCTCTTCCTATCCTACTTGTACTGTATTCTGGAAAGTTTATCCAAACAAGAAGCCAGGGTAATCTTAGGGATCACCTTGTTTATTTCCTTTCAGAGGGTCATAAATCTGAACTGCCTGTTTTCTAATGCTTGAAAATAGGTCTCTCCATGTATTTTGTGGGCCTTCAAGTTGTTGACCCTGGCAGGGTAATTCACAACAGTTATTTAGTCATGACTGGGAATAAATGTCTTCCATAACTTAGTTTTCATTGAAAAAACATTTATTCTTAATTTGTTGTTTTTAATAAATTACATAATTATAATAGAAGAGAAGTGCAACTGGTGCAAACAGATTTTGGAGTAAGCACCACAGTTTCTTGGTAAGCATATAGATTATCTGATGGGAAAATGCTTTGTACTCTAGGGAATAGGAAAGTAGGGTTAAATGATCAGCAGTTAGGTTTGTTTTACAGTAAAACTAAATGAAGTGAGTTCAATAAAAAGCAAGGCAGTTAAACTGCAGTCCATTAAGAATGTTGCTGTAGTACTCAGCTTTATGAGATTTTAAAATGGATCTGGTTAGCTAGATCCAGCTTGGAAAAGGTATTATCAAAACTATCCTGAAATTTAGGATAGCATCCCTCCTCCCCATATTGACAGAATTTGGATTATCTAAATGAGGAGTTTCAGCATTTTAGGAGGCACAATTGAGAATTGATACTTGGTATGTATCATCTGGAAAATTATTCTAATTGTGCATTTCCTGGCTTAGGAAATAAACTATTGCCATAATTCTTTATTTAATTTCATGACAGATACTTTTAGCAAAGAATATTTAGCATTCTCTTTTCTGGTCTAATTGGGATTAGTTTTTGTACCTCTGTCATTGTCTTATCATGATTTTATTAAATATTCTAACACTTTATAAAGTTTGATAATGTGTTAGTTCTGTCACTGCAATAAATACCTGAGATAATTGACTTCTAATGAGAAAAGGTTTATTTTGGTTCACAGTTTTGAGGTTTTAGTCCACTGTTGGTTGGTCTTGTTGCTTTAGACCTGTGGTGGGCAGCACATCATGGCAGGAGCACATGGTGGGGCAGAACTGCTTACATCATGAACAAGAAACAAAAGAGAAGAAAAGGAAGGGATGGGGGTTCCACTATCCCCTTAAGAGAGCATGCCCCAGTGACTATCAGGGCCCACCTTTTAAAAAGTCCACCAGCCTCCCAGTAGTACCACCCTAGGACACTAGTCTAACATATGGGCCTTTGAAGGACATTCAAGATCCAAACCATGGCAGATGATACTTAATTCTAGATTTAAATAATTATTTTTATGAGATTGTGTGTGTGTGTGTGTGTGTGTGTGTAGGGGATTGAACTCAGGGGCACTTAACCACTGGAGCACACACTTTTTTGTATTTTATTTAGAGACAGGGTCTCGCTGAGTTGCTTAGTGCCTCACCAAGTTGCTGAGGCTGGCTTTGAACTCACAATCCTTCTGTCCTAGCCTCCCATGTTGCTAGGATTACAGGCATGTGCCACCACACCCGGCTATTTTTATGATAACTTTTAAGAAAATAATTGGTTAGTCTTCTCAATATGTACTTCTCATGAGAGTTTTAATTAATATACACTGCTTATCAGGATTTTTAATTTACTGAAAATATTTTAAAACTAATAACATTTGTCATTTTTTCCTTTTTTGTATGTAGAGCTTAGATTCAACTCCAACCATGTTAGAATTAACAGATGAAATACTGTTTCATAACATAATATTCCACACTTCCAGAGTGTTTAGTGGAATCATCCAGTTGCTTGTTTCTCCTGGTTTTCAAATAAGGAGTTATTTCTCTTTTGTTCATCCCCTCATTTCAGAAAAAATGAAGATGAATAAACTACGTCTTTCTGACATAAACCGGAAAAACGTTTTTGGAGAGAACTTATTGTATAAGGCTGCTCTGCACAATGATGCTGATCTCATACATCTTTGTATTAAAAAAGGTGCAAATGTTAATCAGCCAAGTTATGCTGGTACGTTAGGGTTACCTCCTCTAGTTTTCCTGATAGTGGTTTGTAGGTTTAGCAGAATTACTGCCATGAAAGTATAGCAGAGTGGGCCTAAGGCAAGTCCTAAAGCTTTCTTGTAATTTTCTTGCTTAAGAAGCTCTTTGCCATTATCTTCAGGGAAGAGGGTAAGGTGAGGAGGGTGAATGGCAGAAAAAGAGCATTATATTTCTTCAAAGATTGTGGCAGGTGTCCATCTACAGTGCCATTATACAGAAAGAAGGATGGTCCCTGAGTCTGGTTTTGCGTGGTCATTGTCACTATGGGCTCAACTTTGGAGGAGAAATGTGGTCAAAAGCAGGAAGAAACTGAAGGTACCCTTATCTGGGGGTTAAAGGGAGATTTGTGACAAAATGGTAAATATACAGCAGGAGTAATGATGACCAGGGAGATGGAGAGAATAGAATATAGAGGTAAAGAGGTTCGGATAGGTTGTTCAGAAAACAGCAGTCTTTCTGTAAGGCTGGGTGTCTGGTGTAGTCTTCCTTGTGGGGAGAAAGAATATCATGTGTTCTTCTGGAGATGAGTGAGTAAAGATACTTAGGTCCTTAACAAACTGAATAGCACTGGGCCAGTCTGAATGGTGCTTTGGGTATACAAGAATACTTTAAAATATTTGACTTTTTTTCATATTTTTCCACAACAGAGTTGAGAGAGAGAATTTGATTTGTCCCTCAGATTTATTGAATCCACTATATAATACAGGGTGCTTTCATGGTGATGTTATATTGTCTCATATAGTCAAAATATTTTTAAAGAAACAATCTAAAATTAGTATTTTTAAGGGCAAGCACAAAACATTATTAAGATGTCAAATATAAACAAATGTCATTTCTTTTTTGTGTAACAGGTTGGACAGCACTTCATGAAGCTAGTTTAAGAGGATTTCATCGCACAGCAAGTGAACTATTAAAAAGTGGAGCAGATGTAAATATCAAAGGAATGAACCAGATCACTCCTCTACATGATGCTGTGATAAATGGACATTATAAGGTACTTGAATGATTTTGTTTGCAGAGTAAATATTGTGTTCTGCAAATGTTAAGTATCTCTGGGCCCATGCAACAGAAAAACACAGGGAATTTCAATTTTGGTTCATTCTGCTAATGAACATTTAGGATTTATAATAAAATTTTACTGTTCAATGTGTTTTTAAAAAAATTTTTTAGTTGTAGATGGACACAATATCTTTATTCTTACTTATTTATTTTTATGTGGTGCTGAGGACCAAACCCAGGGCCTCACACATGCAAGGTAAGCATTCTACCACTGAGCTATAACCCGTCCTCTCAATGGGATTTTTGTGCTTAATATGGTAGATGTCATTTTACATTTTACATATTTTTTTTGCCTTTGAAGGAGGGGTGGGGTCTTACTGTGCTGCCCAGGTTCATCTCAAACTCCTGGGCTCAGTTGAGGGAACCACATCCCCTGCCTCAGCCTTGGGAGTAGCTAGGAATATATGCATGTGCCACCAAGCCCAGCTGGTAGATGCTATTTTACATATTATTTTTATGAATATACAGAACATTTTATATTTACACATAGTTAATTTTTTCAGCTTTTACTCCTTTAAAACTCTTTTCATATGGTGCTTTATGTTCTTTTAAAGAATATATTCTTCTTGTAGAATGTTACACAATGATATTCAGCTCTGATTGGAAGTGTATAGCCTCATAGAGTCTGTGCCATTTTCAGAATCAGCATAGTACACAGTAACCTCCCAGGGCTAATCATCAGTAAATACATTCCTGTGTGATTGTACCACTGGTTAAAATATCAAAATACTATAATTCCATATCAGTTAGTTAGTAGTACCTACAATAAATGTAACATTAAGTAAAATTATGAATTCCATTATACATGGTTTATTTCAGAAACCACATATGCTCTGAGCTTCCTACATTTCTTTTTGTAGTACTGTGAATTGAACCCAGGAGTACCCTGCTACTGAACTATATCCCAAGCCCCTTTTTAAAATTTCTTTTAATTAGTTATACATGACAGTAGAATGCATTTATGCATTTTGATATATCATGCATAGATGGGGTATAATTTTTCATTTTTCTGAGGGTACATGTTATAGAATCACATTGGTCATGCAGTCATATATGTACATAAGGTAATAAATTCTACTATCTTTCTTATCCCCATATCCCCTCCTTTCCTCTCCCTTCACTCCTCTCTACCTAATCTAAGGTAACTCAGTTCTTCCCTAGCACCCACCCCCTTATTGGGAATTAGCATCCACATATTAGAGAAAACATTCGTCCTTTGTTTTTTTAGGATTGGCTTATTTTGCTTAGCGTGATATTCTCCAGCTCCATCAATTTACTGGCAAATGTCATAATTTCATTCTTCTTTTTTGGGGGGTGAGGTGTACCAGGGGTTGAACTAAAGGACACTCAACCACTGAGCCATATCCCCAGCCCTATTTTGTACTTTATTTAGAGATAGGGTCTCACTGAGTTGCTTAGTGCCTCACTTTCGCTGAGGCTGGATTGATCTCGTGATCCTCCTGTCTCAGCCTCCTGAGCCACTGGGATTACAGACATAAGGTTCCATGCCTGGTTCATTCTTCTTTAAAGCTGAGTAATATTCCACTATATATACACATACACACACCACATTTTCTTATCCATTTATCTATTGAAGGAAACCTAGGTTGGTTCCACAGTTTAATTATTGTGAATTGTGCTGTTATAAACATTGGTGTGGCTGTGTTACTGTGGTATGCTGATTTTAAGTCCTTTGGGTATAAACCAAGGAGTGGGATAGCTGGGTCAAATGGTGGTTCTATTCCAAGTTTCTGAGGACTCTTCATACTGCTTTCCATAGTGGTGGCACCAGTTTGTAGTCCCACCAGCAATGTATGAGTATACGTTTTTCTCCACATCCTTGCTATTGTTGCCTGTATTCTTTTTTAAATATATATATTTTTAGTTGTTGATATACCTTTATTTTATTTATTTATATGCGGTGCTGAGAGTCAAACCCAGTGCCTCACACATGCCAGGCAAGTGCGCTACCACTGAGCCCCAGCCCCAGCCCGTATTCTTTTTTTTTTTAACTTTATTTTACTTATTTATTTTTTTATGTGGTGCTGAGGATCGAACCCAGTGCCTCACCCATGCTAGGCAAGTGCTCTATATTCTTGTTGATTGACATTCTGACTGGAGTGAGATGAAATCTTAGAGTAGTTATGATTTGCATTTCTCTAATTATTAGAGAAATTGAACATTTTTTCATGTTTGTTGATTGATTGCATATCATCTTCTGAGAAGTATCTGTTCAGCTCCTTAGCCCATTTATTGATTGGGTTGTTTGTTTTTTTGGTGTTAAGTTTTTGAGTTCTTAATATATCTCTATCTGACATGTGTGGCAAAGATTTGCTCCCAAAATGTAGTCTCTCTCTTCACCTCATTGGTTCTTTCTTTTCCTGAGAAGAACCTTTTTAGTTCGAATCCATCCCATTTATTGATTCTTGATTTTGTTTCTTGTGCTTTAGAAGTCTTGTTAAGGAACTTGGAGCCTAATCTGATGTGATGAAGATTTGGGCCTACTTTTTCCTCTGTTAGAATGAGTTTAGAAAGGTCCCCTCCTTCCATTTCATGGAATATTTTGAGGAGTATTGATGTTAATTCTTCTTTGGCAGTCTTGTAGAACTTGGCTGAGAATCCATCTGGTATGGGCTTTTCTTGATTAGTAGGCTTTTGATGGCATTTTCTATTTCATTACTTGGAAATTGATCTGTTTAAATCTTGTATGACTTCCTCATTCAGTTTGGGTAGATCATATGTCTCTAGAAAAATTTCATTGGAGTAAAAATTTTTTCAAAATAGTTTCTGTACTTCAGACATGTCCACTGTGATATTTCCTTCTTCATTTTGTATTTTAGTAATTTGAGTTTTCTCTCTTTTTCTCTTCATTAGTATGATGAGGGGTTTATCTATCAATTTTTTCAAAGAACCAACTTTTTTGTTTTGTCAGTTTTTTCAGTTGTTTCAATTTCATTGATTTCAGCGCTGATATTAATTATTTCCTGTCTTCTACTGCTTTAGGTGTTGATTTGTTCTTTTTCTAGGACTTTGAGATGTAGTGTTAGGTCATTTATTTGTTGGCTTTTTATTCTTTTAATGAATGCACTCAATGCAATAAACTTTCTTCTTAGTACTGCCTTCATAGTGTCCCAGAGATTTTGATATGTTGTATTAGTGTTCTTATTTACCTCTAAGAATTTTCTTTTATTTCATTCTTAATTTCTTCTACTATTCATTCATCATTCAATTATGTATTATTTAGTCTGCATTTGTTACAGTAGCTTCTATTTTTTATTTTATCATTTATTTCTAATTTCATTCCATTGTGATTTGATAGAATGCATGGTATTGTCACCATTTTTTTGTATTTACTAAGATTTGCTTTGTGGCATGTGATATGGTCTGTTTTAGAGAAGAGCCACGTGCTGCTGAGAAGAAAGTATATTTGCTTGTTGATGGATGAAAATTTCTATATATGCCTGTTCAAAGTCTAAATTATTAATTGTATTATTCAGTTCTATAGTTTTTTATTTAGTTTTTGTTTGAACAATCTTCTCCAGCCCTTTTAAAAAATATTTTGAGGCAGGGTCTGATTATGTTGCCTAGGCTATCTCCAATTTCAATCCTCCTGCCTCCGTTTCCTGGGCATGCATCAACATACCTGGCCCCACATATTTTGGGGGGGATGAGTATAGAGACTATATTACAGGGCTGAGCTGAGGTATTTGGTGAAGTTTTGGTTGTTGTTGGTATTTTGGTTTAGTTTGTTTTTTTCTGGTTTAGGGGATCCAATCTGAGGGCCTTATGCATGCTATGCAAGTGCTTTACACTGAGCTACACCCTAAGCCTCTGAAGATATCTTAGTTGGGTGGAAAAACAGGTTTATCAACTGGGCTCAGGAAGATCTATTCTAATTATTTCCAGAAGAAATACCTAATATAGGTAAACGTGGGGAAAGCTTCTGGAAGCCAGGAACATAGATAGGGCATATTTCTTCAAAGTATTTAATTACTTCAGGAGCCTTTAGGCATTTTTGTTTATTTTGATAATGTTTTGACTGGTCGTGGATGGGGTCATCTCTATTCATTTTGTAGAGGGCTGAAGGGAGAGAATTCTGCCTAGAACCCAATTTTAATGGCCTGAAAAACTTGCAAGCTTGGACAAACAATAATATACCAGTCTTTCTATCCTTTATCTTTTCACAGCTGGTCTCCAGCAGAGAAACCTCATGTCAAAGCACGTCTTTCCTTTCCCCCATAGTTTATCTGCTCCCTCACTTACCAGGGCTGAACTTGGGGAATATAAATCTGAACATTTTACTTTTTCTTCTTTTCTTCACCTTTCTTCCTTTGTCCTACTTGGAAACTACTCCACTCCACTTTTCTTCATAGGCCAGCACTTTCTGTCTCCTGTCTGACTTTTGTAGATATGTACCCTTCTCTGGTTCCCTTAATGAAGTAAAATAGACCAGAGACACAGAACTCCATTTTCAGAATCCAGTACCTCTACTTACCTCACTCCCTCTTGCCAATCCTAGTCTCTGATATGCTCCTGGCACCATGGCAGGAGAAAAGAAAATGATAAGATAGGAGTAAAAATTTAGAGAAAGATGAGAATTCAAAGCTGAAACCCAGTGGGTAAGGTGAAGTCACAGTCTCCCCCCCACCCAACTTCACTCTCTATTTAATTTGGGGTATCCAACAAGTTACCTCACCCCAGTCAAAGAGAAGTGAACAAAACTACAGGTCTGTTCTGGACTGAATTAGCAACCAGCCTTGGGAACCAAAATAGGATAGGACATGGTTTTGGAGGATGCAGGATGGATGGTGGAAGCATAAGATGAGGATCTAGACCTACCTTAGGAATCTCATAGGTGAGGCAAAGATGGAAAAAAGGCCTGGGCCCTGGGTATTGAATTGATCAAATGCTTTAGGTGTTAGGACTAAAGATATA